TTATAGCAGTCGGAACTGGTCCAGGCCAAAGGCAGGTTGTGGGAACTCAATCTAGATCTCTGATCTGGGTGACAGAAGCCCAGTCAATTGAGTTACCACTGCTGCATCCCAGGGTCTGTATTAGGGAACAGAAATCAGGAGCTAGAACCAGAGTCAGGTTTCAAACTCACCACAGGCGTTTAAACTATGGGATAAGGTGCCTTCCCGAAGTGTCTGACTACCTATCTTTGCCTCTCTCTGTCTGTTGGGTCACTTCCAAAATGGCTGTAATAGCTGGGGCTGGGCCGTGCTGAAGTCAGAGCCTGGACTCCCTCTAGATGTTCCGTGTGGATGGCAGAGATTCAGGTGCTTGGGGCATCATCTGCTGCCTTAGCGGCAGAACCAGCAGGACTGGAAGTAGCAGTCTGATTGGAAATAGAGGATGCTGTGGCACCAGGGGCATCTGAATGTGCCAGCCCTTTTGCTTGTTTTACTTTCATAATAACAGTGAGTCTCTTGGTAACTTTTGTCCTCTATTCCCACCAAAAGGAATTTTTGAAAATGTAAAAAATTGATAACAAAAGTCTTGGCTTTATTGAGAAGATTTAAAATATATTCAAAAAGTAGATGGTGAGTCTGGCAAAAAAAAAAAAAAAAAAAAAAAGAATGGTGTAGGAAACCCAACCCAACATCAAAATTGTTTTTCACCCTGGAATGTTTTAAAGCATGAGTTTTCTCATAAGACTTAATTCTATATCTGAAAGTTTACAAAAAAGTATAAAATGAAGTCTAATGCAAATGTATGCTAGTTAGAGTTTTCTTTTCTTTTTTTTTTTTTAAACCTAGAAGTTTCTTAAAAAATAAAAAATTCCTTCACTGTTAATCGTGAGTTTTTTGTGGCTGGAAGATTTCTGAGAGACACCCAAATAAACCATGTTCCCAGGTATAGATGAAAGCTTTTTTTTTTTTTGGAAATTTTTAAAAATTTATTTGGAAATGTAACAGAGGGGAAGAGAGAGAGAAAGAGATCTTCCCACCTGCTGGTGTATTCCCCAGATGGCCAGAACAGATAGGGCTAGACTAATCTGAAGCCAAATACATCATCTGGGTTTTCCCATGCGGGACAGGGGCCAGTGCAGGGGGCTATCCCACACGGCTTTTCCAAGTGCATCAGCAAGGAGCTGTATTGGAAGTAGTGCAGCTGGGCCTCAACTAGCACTCATATGGGATGCTTGCATTGTAGCAGCTGTACATTTATGCCACAAAACTGGCCTCAGATGCAAACCTTCAACATATTACAGATTTTAGTGGAAGACTTATTGAATGTAAGAGTTTAGGTATGATTATTTCAGAAAGATGAACACCTACCTTTTACTTTTTAAGAGACCTGTATTTTTATTTAAAGATTTGTTAATTTTTATTGGAAAGTCAGCTATACAGAGAGAAGGGGAGACAGAAAGATCTTCTCCATTGATTCACACCCCAAGTGGTTGCGACAGTCAGAGCTGAACCCATCTGAAGCCAGGAGCCTCTTCTCAGTCTTTCATACGGGTGCAGAGTCCCAAGGCTTTGGGATATCCTCGACTGCTTTCCCAGGCCACAGGCAGGAAGCTAGATGAGAAGCAGGACCTCTAGGATTAGATCCCTGTGTGTGCAAGGTGAGGACTTTAGCCACTAGGCTACCGCGCTGGGCCCAACAGACCTGTGTTTTAAAGTGTTCTTGTTTATTTGAAAGGCAGTGAGACAGAGATCTTGTCTGTTGGTTTGCTTCCCAAATGCTTGCAACAGTTAGAACTGGCAGCCAGAACTTCACTCCAAATCTCTCAGACAGGCATCGGGACGCATCTACTTTTAGTCTCCCAGGGTATACATCAACAAGAACCCAGACAGTCAGATTGATAAAGGATGCTGGTGTCCCAGCTGGCAGCTTGTCCCTAAAATTTGTGTTTTTTTAAAGGTTTTGTTTGTTTGTTTTGGTAAGACAGAATGGCATAGAAAGAGTGGAAGAGAAAAAAACAGATTTTCTGTCCTCTGGTTCACATCCCAAATGGCTACAACACCTGGAGTTGGTCCAGTCCGGAGCCAGGACTGCTTCCAGGTCTCCCACATGGATGCAGCAGCCCGTCATTCTCCCCCTCCATTGCTTCCTTAGGCCCATTAGTAGGTAGCGGAATCAGAAGAGGAGCAGCCGGGATTTGAACCAGCTTATTTGGGATGCTGGTGATGGCAGCAGCAGCTTATCCACTGCCAGCCTCAGACCTTAAAACATTTAAAAATATATCATGTTTTCTGTTTTCATAATCATGTGTTTAACTTTGTTGAGCTTACCATTTAGCAGGATGATTTGAAATTTTAATGTAGTTATTTAGATTCCTCTTTGTCAGTTTAGGTATTAGCAATATATTGGGCTCATTATCTGAAGTCATTGCTAACATGTTTTTGAAAGTAGAAAAAAGACCTTTTGCATCTTTTGTTCTTGGTTTCTGATAACTAGGTGCTTATTTTTTTCATTGGCTTTTATGCACATGGGATTTTTCAGTGATACTCCTAATTTTTTTTTTTTTTTTATAGAGAAAAGGAGGAATCTCTTCAGCTTCATCAGGAAGCTTGGGAACGACATCAGCTAAGAAAGGAACTTCGTAGCAAAAACCAAAATGCTCCAGACAACCGGCCAGAGGAAAACTTCTTTAGCCGCCTAGATTCAAGTTTGAAGAAAAATACTGCTTTTGTCAAGAAACTAAAAACTATTACAGAGCAACAGAGAGACTCCTTGTCCCATGATTTTAATGGCCTGAATTTAAGCAAATACATTGCAGAAGCCGTAGCTTCTATTGTGGAAGCCAAGCTAAAAATCTCCGATGTGAACTGTGCTGTGCACCTGTGCTCTCTCTTTCACCAACGCTATGCTGACTTTGCCCCATCACTTCTTCAGGTCTGGAAAAAGCATTTTGAAGCAAGGAAAGAGGAAAAAACACCTAACATTACCAAATTAAGAACTGATTTGCGTTTTATCGCAGAATTGACAATTGTTGGGATTTTTACGGACAAGGAGGGCCTTTCCTTAATATATGAACAGCTAAAAAATATTATTAATGCTGATCGGGAATCTCACACTCATGTTTCGGTGGTGATTAGTTTTTGTCGACATTGTGGTGATGACATTGCTGGACTCGTACCAAGGAAAGTAAAAAGTGCTGCAGAGAAGTTTAATTTGAGTTTTCCTCCTAGTGAGATAATAAGTCCAGAGAAACAACAGCCTTTCCAGAACCTTTTGAAAGAGTACTTTACGTCTTTGACCAAACACCTGAAAAGGGACCACAGGGAGCTCCAGAATACTGAGAGACAAAACAGGTGATTTTCAAATGTTTCTCAGAATTGAGAATTTATTTTGGAGCTCATACTTTAAAATGTTTAAAGTCTTCATGCCACTGAGAGAACTTATGGAAAAAGGGCTTCTTACAGGTGATTGCTTAACATCCCAGGAAAATTCTAAAGTGCTAACAAGTCTAAATGTTATGTTTAAATTTGAGTCTGCGACAGAAGTTTTTTCTGATTTTTCAGATATGTGACAAGTAGATGGGAACTTTAGTTAATATTTCTTTCCATGATTTGGAAATCTCAACTTTAATAGAGTAGATTTCTTTTACTGTGACTTTTAACTTAGCTGTTACTGATAAATAGTGTTCAGATTAACTGAGAAACATTTCCTTAAATGTAACTGCAAAGAATATTTCTAAGAGTCTTATTACTAAGAATATTTTTAAACGATAATTAGCTGTGTCTGATAATTGATAAGAAGATAAAATTTCAGTGCCAACTTTGATTGTTGTAAGATACTAGAGGTACTTAATACTTGGGAGGGGCAGCAACCTAGGAGTTGATGTCACTTCTGGGAAGTAAGCTTTTGTGGAAGATAGGTTTGGAGAAAAGCTGAGGATATGCAGGAAGTAGGTAAATAGGAAAAGTGTTTGGCTGGATTCCCTACAGCTATTGAAGCTGTGTAGTTAAGAATTTGAAATTAACATTGGATGGAAATTAGTATGGGCAGTATCATTTTTGACTTCCAGAAGTCTGAGTGGGGGGGCCACTAGTTTTAGTAGAAAATAATTAGAAGATGATGCTCAGTCAGAAGAGTAGATAGTATATATGCTGTATGCCAGTTGGTTCTTCTCTTTTGAGTACCTCTCAGAAGACCTCAGTGTGTGCTGAACCATTCCAATGTGAAACACAGATGTACTAGTAATTCATTGTTGTATCAAGCTGAAATTTAAATTTCTTAATGGTTCTTTGTGATTTAGTTCTTTTTTTCTAATATTTGTAGAATAAAGGGACTCTAAAATGGAGGACCATTAACTATTTGTATGTTCACAATGAATTAAGAATGGAAATGGCTATGTTAAGGATTTAGGAAATTTTATAGTGATTTCAGTTGCCATGATACTCTTACTGTATTTTACAAAAATGTAAAGATGAGGAAAAAAACTGCAATAGATAGTTTGAGAACCTGGTATGGGCTATATGTCCATGTGTTGGTTTACTCCCCTAAGGGCTGTAACAGCTGGGGCTGGCCAGCTCAAAAGGAAGAGCTGAGAGCTGGTTATAGGTCTCCAGTGTAGGTGCAGGTATCTGAGCACTTGGACCATCCTGTTTTCCCAAACATGTTAGCACAGAGCTGGATCAGAAGCAGAATAGCCAGGACTTGAACCAGCACCCTTTATGGGATGGGAAGAGAATCTGTAAACAATATTTAATCAGTATTTTGAAAACAATTGAAGGGCTGATGCTTTGGCTCAACAAGCTAATCTTCCACCTTTTGCTGCTGGCATTCCATTTTTGGTGGTGGCTGATCCACTTCTGATCCAGCTGCCTACTTATGGCCTAGAAAAGCAGCAGAGAATGACCCAAGTCCTTGGGCCCCTGCATCCACATGGGAGACATGGAAGAAGCTTCTAGTTCCCTACTCCTGGCTTTGGATTGGCTTAACTCTGGCCATTTGGCCATTTGGGGAGTGAACCAGTGGATAGAAGCTTTTCTATCTGTCTTTCTGTAAATTTTCTTTCAAATGTACATAATTTTGTCTTAAAACAATTGATAACATGGCTTAATAAATTCCTTTTACCTTAGGACATCTAGGCAACCTCTTTAGTGAAGAAGCGGATGCCTAACTGCACCAACGATCTATGAGAACTGCCCTAATTGGCCTAATACTAGTTTTCCAGAAGGGCATATTATAGGATGCTGCTAAAATGATCACTTTTTCTCCCTCTGGAGGCTTGAGGCTTTTGTGTGTCATGAAAATAAATCACAAGCAGTAATTTTTCCCAGTAAGGGATCTCTTGGTTGTAGTAATAGTAGAAAACCAAGTGTCAAGCTAATTGATATTTAAGATTCACATTTAGTTAAATTTCTTTAAGCTTTTATTCAATATCTTTTAAAAAGATGGGATGTTCTGTATCATTTTCAGTTTAGTAAGCTTAAATGCTGTTGGTCTTTTTGGTTAACTTGGAAGATACATCCTATACAGATTGTGATCTGCACTCACTACAATTTATACTTAGTAATTTATTCAACTGTTTTTTAAGCATAGGTTAGTAAAAATCTCTGGTACTTTCCTAAAGATGTTGTAATGAATTAGTGAAGGATGTGGTTGACACCAAGTGTTTTAATTCTTATTGTATCTTTATGGATGGATGTTAGATAATTGGTACTGTTTCCAGATATTCGAGGCTTTTGCTGTTGTAAGAAAAGGATACAGTTGGGTGAATTTAATAGATTAAAAAGTCTAAATGATTTGTACTTAATTTTAATCATTTTGGTTCAATGATTGATCTGGGGAGTTAAAACTAATAATTCTGTGTTTGAAAATATTTAGTAATAGCAGTTGCTAGTTTTGCCTTTTGTTAGTTCATTGCTCTAATTTATGCTTTGAATTGCTTTGTACACAGAAACCTAGAGCTCCTATTATTTTTGAGGCTTGGTAAAGCCTGGTTTGAAGATTGCTTAATTTTTGTTGCCTATAGCAATGTTAATTTATGTAACAGAATTTTATTCTTTCAGTTTATCAACATCATTAATTCAGAAATTAAGACATAATTCTTGCGTAAATAATATGAAGTATCCTAATTTATGTTTTCCTCCCCAGTTGATGGGAATGATGCCAAGTTTGTTTCCAGCAGTGAGTTAGGATCCTCGTGATTGTGTGCTTGCTCTTGGAGTTCAGCAGATATGTATAGTGCAGACTCTTTCCTCACTCCATCATTAGTAGAATTAAGCAGTTTCTTTCTTTCTTTTTCATGAAAATTCATGCGGTATTAATTTACCAGTGTTCGAATTTTAGAAACCTACTAGCGTTAAGACTAGTGTGGCATTTACGTTCACTTTTTTCAAGGTGAGTTGTACCTTGCCTTACAGGTTGGTGATTTGACCAGTTGATAGTACAACATGCTACTTCATTGCACTTTCCTCTAAGGAGGCTCTAACAGTGTTGTTCTCTAATTCTTTTTAAATGCCTTTAATATTTTTGAGAAGCAGAGTTATGGAGAGATAGGGAGCAACAGAGGAGGAGAGATCTGTATACTGGTTCACTCGCTAAATAACCGCAACACTGCTGTGGCACTGAGACCAGGAGCCTGAATCTTCCTGGGTGCAGGGCCAGAGCACTTGGGCTGCCTTTCATTACTTTCCCAGGCATATTAGTAGGGAGTTGGATTGGAAGTGGAACAACTGAGACTTCAAATATACCCATATGGGATCCTGGCAGGTGGGTGCTTTACCTGCAATACCACAGTGATGGGCCCAAATGACAATTTTTTTAAAACTTACTTATTTTTATTGATGAGAAGATTTACTGACACAAGGAAATACAGAAAGATCTTCCATTCACTGGTTCACTCCCCAAGTGGCCACAGCAGCCAGAGCTGAGCTGATCTGAAGCCAGGAGCCCAGAGCTTCTTTCAGGTCTCCCATGAAGGGTGTGGAGTTCCAAGGCTTTGGGCCATCTTCTACTGCTTTGCCAGGCCAGCTGGATGAGAAGTGGAGCTGCTGGGACTTGAACTGGCACCCATAAACGATTCCAGCAGGTACAAGGCGAGGCTTTAGCCACTAGGCTATCGTGCCAGGTCCCCGTAAATGACTTTGACATAATACCTTAATATTTCAATGGATTTGGTATCCTAGCACTAAGTTTTGGTGTCTTTTTTTTTTTTTTTTAAGATTTATGTTTCTTTTTGTTGGAAAGTCAGATATACAGAGAGGAGGAAAGACAGAGGAAGACCTTCCATCCGCTGATTCACTCCTCAAGTGACTGCAACGGCTGGAGCTGAGCTGACCCGAAGCCAGGAACCTGGGGTCTCTTCTGGGTCTCCCACGTGGGTGCAGGTTCCCAGGGCTTTGGGCCATCCTCGACTGCTTTCCAGGCCACAATCAGGGAGCTGGATGGTAGGTGAGGCGACGAGGATACAAACCGGCATCCTATGGGATCCTGGAGCATGCAAGGCGAGGACTTTAACTGTTAGGCTACAGGGCTGGACCCCAGACTTTAGTGACTTTTAACAAACAGTAAGATATTCATAGCCAAGGTAATTAAAATGAAACCAAAAGAAACTAAGTTGATTTGAGTCAAGTTTATGTGAAGATTTGATAGAATACTGAAGGAGATGAAATGTAAAACCATGAGTTTCTGTTGGATCTACTTTTTAATCAGTTTTTCCAGATTTTGGCAACATGCTAAATGTATGGCTAGACAACAAAGTGAAAATGGATGTTTGGTATTCTTGCCAAGATTTTTTTTTCTTTTTAGTTTGGCAAAAAACGAGAAAAATCAAAATAATACTTGACCTTGAAGTTTACATTTTGTGCAATGAAAGTATATCACAAAAGTAACATTTTACTTTGGTACAGTACATTTTAATTAATAAATGTTCGTAAAATAAATACCTACATTTTGAAGATGATAGAATATTTCATATATTAAAGAGCTTGTCTACTCTTGCATAGATAGCCTGTGATAGTATTCAGTTCTTCCTCTTAATATAGTTTTCATTTTTTTCATATTAGCAATAATTATTTTCATTTAGTGTCTGTTTAAAAAGTGTTGAGACACTTGGGTTTAGCAGTGAGTACTTAACATGTCAAATCCAATGACAAAGGGACTCACACAAAGGCATGAAACAGGCGCCTTAACCTAGGAGCGATTGCCTTTGGTGTATACATTTGAAAGACATTGTAATTTTAGTGTAAAGCCAAAGTGGGTAATTTTAGTCTGGAAGTCAGCAGAATCCACTGTTTTAGAACATGGGCTCTTGAGGAGACTGCTAGGGTTCAAATTTGGGCTTGTCATCAGTCTTTTCCTTAGTCTTGGACAAGCTCACCTGCTGTCTCTGTGTTTCAGCTCTCTCTCCATGCACAAGGAGGAGTAGCAGTAGCACTGTACTTCTGAGGTTATGTGAGTAATTTAGTGAGCTTATTTGTATAAAGGTACTTAGATGTATTAGGCACCTTGTAAGTGTTTTAGTGTTATCGCGACTGATAATATACTGTTGATTTTTTGCATATCTAATCTTTCTGAAAGAAGTTGAAGAGAATTTTTATCATGTTTCAATGTATGTTAACCTGTTACTGCTTATTTTACAAATGAACTTTTTAAAAGATTTCTTTATTTTTATTGCAAAGTTAGATACGCAGATAGGAAGATCTTCCATCCGATGATTCACTCGATTACTTTCCCAGGTCACAAGCAGGGAGGTGGATGGGAAGTGGGGCTGTCAGGATTAGAACGGGTACCCATATGGGATCCCGTTGCTTGTAAGGCAAAGACTTTAGCAGTTAGGCCACACACCGGGCCTGAAAATTAATTTTTTTAGAAGATTTATTTGAGTTATAGTGTGAAGGCAAAACAGAATCTTCTGTCTGCTGGTTTATTCTGAAATGGCCACAATGGCCAGACTCAAGCTGACCCAAATCCAGGAGCCAGGCGATCCTTCCGGGTGTCCCATGTGGATGCAGGGGCCCAAGGGCAGAGTCCCAAGGACTTGGGCCATCATATCATAAGTAGGCAGCTGGATCAGAAGTGGAGCAGCCAGCATACGAACTGGCACCCACATGGAATGCCAGCACTACAGGGGACTAGACTACTGTTCCATAGCATCAGCCCCCAAATTTGTTTTTAAAGAAGTCAAAGTAGGGGCTAGTGCGGTGATACTGACATCTCATGTGGGTACTGGATCTGGTCCCAGCTGTTCTGCTTCTGATCCAGCTCTCTGCTAATGGTCTGGTAAACCATCAGAGGATGGCTTAGGTCCATGGGCTCCTAACTCACATGGGAAACCCAGAATGAAGCTGATGGATCCAGATTTTCTCAGCTTCAGACTTTACAGCCATTTGGGGAGTGAATTAGTGAATGAAAGATGTCTTTCTGTTTCTACTTCTCTCTGTGTCAGTCCTACCTTTCAAATAAAAATAAAATTACAAGAAGAAAAAGTAAACTATACAGGATGAAAGATGGCACAGTAAATGTCAAACAGTGGGCCTGGTGCAGTAGCCTAGTGGCTCAAGTCCTCACCTTGGACACACTGGTATCCCATGTGGTGCTTGTTTGTGTCCTGGTTGCTCCACTTCCCATCCTGCTTCCTGCTTGTGACCTGTGGAAGCAGTTGAGGATGCCTCAAAGCCTTGAGTCCCTGCACCTGCTTGGGAGATTCAGAAGAGGCTCCTGGCTTCTTACCTCCAGCTGTTGCAGCGACTTGGGAAATGAACCAGCAGACAGAAGATCCTTTTCTCTTTGTCTCCTTCTCTCTGAAAGTCTGACTTTCCTATAAAATAAGTAAAATTTTTAAAAAGTGTCAAATGGGATAAATAAAAATGGGAAATAAATCCCCCAAAGTACAAATAAATCTCTTAATGCTGAAGGTTTTGCGTGATTCTTCAGTTTTATTTATGTAAAAGAATACGTGATTCAACAGTGGACTGTTAGTGTTTTGTTATGCTTTTTTTCCCTCAGTTTTATGATATTAGTAACATAAAGAAGCATCTGACATGGCCAGCATTGAGCCTAGCATTGAGATGCTAGCATAGCTACTTGAGGTGCCTGCATCCTGCCTTGGCTCTGACGCTTGGCTCCAGCCTTCTGCCACTGCACATCCTGAGAGGCCGCGGTGCTCCCTCAAGCAAGTGGGAGACCTCCCTAAGGCTTCCAGCTCCTGGCTTGGGTTCTGCCTTGCCCTGAGCCCTTGTAGGTTTTGGGTACTGAACCAGTGGATGTGAGTTCTCTATCTCTTCACCTGTCCCTGCCTTTCAAACAATAGGTGGGTAGAAAGGGGGAGAGGGGAAGAAACACGCCACAACTCAAGGATTGGCGTGCTTTGGGGATACTTATGACAGTAATGTCTCATGTTGTTTTTGTATTATTGTCATGAAAAAGACAAATATGCTTTCAATGTTTTTCACATCTTTGAAAAGAAGATACTAGTACTTCTCTGTAGTATAATGATAAAAGGAGGAATGAACTAGTTTTTGGTTATACTAATTTAGTTAATTCCAGTTATAATGGAGATTGGCACAGTGTGACCTACAGACCAGATTCAGATTGGACTATTTTTTTACTACAGACCAGATTGGACTATTTTTTTAATAGCCTGTGAGCTAATCCTTTTTTGCTTTTTACCATTTTATTTTGTTTTTAAACGGTTTATTTACTTAGATCTTCATCTGCTATTTCATTCCCCAGATGGCCACAGCGGCCAATGTTGGGCCAGACCAAAGCAAGAGGCTGGGGGCTTCTGACTCCACATGGGTCGCAGGTGTCCACATGATTTGATCGTCATTTGCTGCTTTCTCAGCCAGGGAGCTGGGTGGGAAATGAGACAGGATGTGAAAAGGATGCTGATGTTGTAGGTAGTAGCTGTAACTACTTTGCCACAACACTGGCAAAAATTTTTATCATTTTAAATTATGTAAAAATTAAGAGAATATTTGGTAAACCATGAGAGTGACATGAAATTCAAATTTCAGTGTTCATAAGTATTTATTGTGTGGTCATACTCCTCTGTTGATTGTCTTGGCTGCTTTTGCACTCCATAGGGTTGATTCCGATTATATATGGTCTGCACACTAAGGTATTTACTGTTTGAAGACTTAATTTCCAATAGAATGGGTTCAGTTCAACTTTATGTAGTAGATGGTTTTCTAAAAAGGTGGTAATCTAAATTCTGTTTTGTTTATATTTTTATTCCTTGCTTATTATCTTTTAATTATTATTTTATACAGGCTCCTAGGCTCTGGGATTTCCTTTGCTTGTATATTTCAGTAATATGTTACCATGAACTTCTTGTTAGCTTGATGAGGTTTTTGTTGTTTGTTTAACAGCAATGTAAAGAAGGGGTACTGTGGCCAAGCATGCTATTAATACTTCCATATTAGCCTCCTAATAATTTTAATCAGTCTTTATATGAACTTGAAAGAATCATTTTAAAAACCGTAGTGTATATAGGAAATGTTTAACTTGAATTTCTAAACGAATAGGACTTATGAATATTCACACACTGTGGGTTTATTTCTATGCTTTAAATCTTTGAGTGTTACTGATGTGCTGTGGTTTATTTAGATATGCAGTGAATGTATGTTAAATGATGAAAGAAAGATGTGTCACCGTATAAGTTCTCTTTGTAATAATTGATAAATCTGTTTTTTTTTTTTTTCCTGTATACCAGGAACTTACAAAATGTGAATACAGTTAAAAAACCAGTCAGGTTTTTTTTTCCTTAAGAACAGTTCTCACTGATTAGCTATTTAAGTACATATTCATTAAGTAGATAGGTGAATTAATGCTATTACCAGGTTTGGTCATGGAATTGAGGTGTGGGAGTAGACAATGGCTATCTTTGAAACTTTTTCAGATTTTAGTTTAATTTTACTAGGCCTGGGAAAAAAATGTAATGCAGACACAATGAACTCTTTTTTTTTTTAATTTAAGATTTATTTTTTTATTGGAAAGGCAGATATACAGAGAGGAGAGACAGAGAGGAAGATCTTCCGTCCGATGATTCACTCCCCAAGTGAGCTGCAACAGTCGATGCTATGCCGATCCAAAGCCAGGAGCCTCTTCCGGGTCTCCCACGTGGGTGCAGGGTCCCAAAGCCTTGGGCCATCCTCGACTGCTTTCCCGGGCCACAGGCAGGGAGCTGGAAGGGAAGCGGGGCTGCCGGGATTAGAACCGGCGCCCATATGGGATCCCAGGTGTGCAAGGCGAGGACCTTAACCACTTGCGCCACCGTGCCGGGCCCCACAATGAATTCTTAAATAGAATTAAATTACTCTTAATTGATAGCAATGCAAAATCCAGGCAAATATTTGAAAGTGAGATTGATATGGGAGGACTGGACTATATTTGAGATTTATTTAAGAGATGTTTAAGTATATGTTTTATTTATATGAAAAGTAGAGTGACAGAGGGAGAAAAAGATTGTCTGTTATTGATTGATCCTCAAATGGCCACAGTGGCCATCACTGGGCCATCCCATAGTCTAGAGTTTTATCCAGACTATTTTTTTTTTTAATTTATTTTTAAGGCAAAGTCAGATACACAGAGAGGAGGAGAGACAGAGAGGAAAATCTTCCATCCATTGATTCACTCTCCAAGTGTCCATGGAGCTGAGTCATCCAAAGCCAGGAACCAGGAGCTTATTCCAGGTCTCATGTGGGTGAAGGGTCCCAAGGCGTTGAGACATCCTCGACTGCTTTCCCAGGCCAGAAGCGGGGAGCTGGATGGGAAGTGGGACTGTCGGGGACACTAACAGGTACTCATGGGTTTCCAGTGCAAGCAAGGCGAGAGCTTCAGTTGATAGGCTGCTGCGCTGGGCCCCAAGATTTTTTTTTTTTAAGATGTATTTATTTTTATTGGAAAGCTAAATATATAGAGAGAAAGAGAAAGTTCTTTTGTCCACTGGTTCACTCCCCAAATGGCTGCAACTGCTGGAGCTGAGCTGAGCGCAAGTCTAGTGTCAAGAGCTGCTTCTGGGTTTCCCACAAAGATGAGGGGTCCCAAGGCATTGGGTTATCTTTGACTGCTTTCCCAGGCCACAAGCCTGGAGCTGGATGGGAAGTGGAGCTGCCAGAACACAGAACACAGATTGGCACCCATTTGAGATCCTGGCATGTGCAAGGGGAGGACTTTAGCCACTGGGTTACTGCTTCAGGCCCCTTATCCAGATCTTGTATGTGATTGGTAATGGCCTAAAGTACTTGGACTGCCTTCCCTGCTGTCAGAGTCCCATTAGCAGGGAACTTGACAAGAGGCCAAGCAACTAGGATACTGTGACTTGGATATGGCATGCCTGGATCTACTGTTTTTAGTGGCACAGTGACAGTGAGATAGAGAACATCCATTTGCTGGTTCATTCCTAAACAATTACAGCAGGCTGAAGCCATGAGCCAGGAACCCATTCTAGTCTCATGGTCGTTGTAGGGACCCAGGTGCTTGTGCCATCTTCTGTTACCTTCCCAGACACATTAGCAGGAAGCTAGATTGCAAGTAGAACATCTGTGAGTAAACCTGTGATACTCCAGTGCTAGATGCTGGTATGGCAAACAATGGCTCAACCTTTTGTGTTGGTCCTTGACTGTATATTTTCTGTTCTAATAAAATAGTCATCACTTTGCCAATGCGTACATATCAAAAGTCCTTGGGGTAAGAATTTGGTCCAGTGGGCTGTATCCTGTATCACAGTGTCCCCACCCCCTGCTCCTAACCCTGGCTGTTGCAGACACTTGGGGAGTAAACCAGTAGGTAAAAGTACTTTGTCCCTGCTTTTCAAACAGCTTTTATTCTAAAAGCCATTTTTGAAAAAAAACAAACAAAAAAACAGGCTTGTTTTAAAATATCTGCAATGTATTATTAGGAACACTGTTAATTGATTAAAAACTAGAGTATTCGAGAAGCAAATTATGTTACAAGGGTTAATGGTTCTAAGGGATTTTAGGACTTCTGTTGGCAACGTTATCTTAGAACTTGAAATCATAAAACATTTTAATAACTTCAGGTCATTATTCACATAGGTTTACTCTTTTATTTTTTTTAAACTAACTTTTTTTTTTTTTTTTTTTTTTTTTAACACCTCTGGTTCCCTCTCCAGTACTCTGTAGCACTTGGGTCTGAGCTGGATGGGAATATTGGGGAAATAGTTCCACGTAAGTGGAGAATAAGTAAATGTTGAGTTTTTTCTTCTTTAAATCCTGTAACTTTGAAGAAGATAATCCATATGGCATGAAGTCTGTCATTTACTTCATTGTTTTAAAAGCAAAGAGCTTTTGAAAATTAGTTAATGATTTCTAATTGGCTTTTTGGATCCACTATTTTATTTGCATCATGGCTTATAAATATCAGATGTTAACACTATCACACAAATAGTATGGGAAAAAGTGTACTTAGTTATTAAGTCTCAGCCCTTTATGTTAAGGCTTTTATTTGATTTTATATGTGCTGCTATTTTCCAGCAGTTGCACACTCGTGATTAGCAGTGGCTTGCTTCTGCACAGTTGCAAAGTGGGAGAGTCCTGTCCTGTGTTTTTTAGGTAGTCTGACCCTGAATAGGTGCTTTGCTGAATTAGTATGTGTTTAGTGGATAAACAGCCAGTACCTGCATGGTTGGCATAGTTGGTAAGTGCTTTTTTGGGGCTTTTTTCAAAAGATAATTTCGATCAAGTCATGATAGATACTTAAGGATGACTGGTTCTCTTGCTCTTTGACTTTGTTCAAAACCTGTTGTTTGAAACATGACTCATGGCTGCATTAAATACTTTTAAACTGTATTATGGCTAACGAGGGTGGGTGGCATTAGGAAAATGCTAAATAATTACTTAGCTCTTTACTACAGTGTTTCTGACTCAAATTTTGAAGGTTTAAGGATCACATTTTTCTGTAACTTGTTGGTCCTGGAAAAAGTAATTTCTTGCATTAAATATTTATGTTTATATGACTAAGGGGAGTATGACTAATACAAGATTTCTTTTTCAAGATTTGAGAGCTGGCATGGTGGCTCCACCTGAAAGTGCTGGCATCCCATATGGGCACTGACTCATGTCCTAGCTGTTCTGCTTGCCATCGAGCTCCCTGCTTGTGGCCTGGGATGGCTCAAGTCCTTGGGACCCTGCACCACCCACCTGGGAGACCAAGGCGCCCTTCTGGCTGTGTATCAGCTCAGCTCTGGCTGTTGCAGCCATGTAGAGTGAACCAGTGGATGGATGTGTTTTCTGTCTTTTGTTCTCTCTGTAAATCTATCTTTCCAATAAAAAAAATCTTTAAAAAGTTTTATTTATTAGATAGGTGGAGCTAGAGAAGGAGAGATCTTTCATTCTCTGGTACATTCTCCAAATGTTCCTTGGGATCACAGTTAGACTGATCTAAAGATAAGAGCCAGAGGCTTGTTCTCAGTCTCCCACTTGAGAATAAGTGGCTCAAACACTTGGTCCATCTTTTGTTGCTTACCCAGGCACATTAGCAGGAAGTTGGACTGGAAGTGAAACAGCTAGGGCTTGAATCAGTACTCATATGGGATTCTGACTTTTATGTGCTGTGCCAAAACTCCAACCCCCAAAGTTGTTATTAAATAAATATTAAGATAATTAACATTTTATTTATCTTAATCATTAAGATAATTAGCATATTTTATTTTATTTTATTTGAACAACTAGTGTTAACATTTATTTGCCCATGTAATTTTGATCCTCAATTTGTATTCAAATCTATTTTAAACATGATAGGCGATTTTAAAAGTTATGTAACAAAAGTAAACTGACAGTGAATATGTTAAATTTGTTTAATAAAATCCAATTCTATGGGACATAAATCTACTTTGCTTAGATTATCAGATTTAACCATTTGTTTTTAGGCGTATTCTTCATTCTAAAGGAGAGCTAAGTGAAGATAGACATAAACAGTATGAGGAATTCGCCATGTCTTATCAGAAACTGCTGGCCAATTCTCAGTCCTTAGCAGACCTCTTGGATGAAAATATGCCAGATCTTCCTCAGGACAAACCAACACCAGAAGGTAAGACACCCTTAAAAACAAACATTGTGAGGTTTAAGTATGCGCTATCACTTACTTTTCAGCTTGTCAGTTGTGCATTATTTTAAAATAAAAGCTTTAAAAATGGTTTAAGAGTTTTTAAATGCAAGAGTGCTATTAAGAACAAATACTAACCGTGAAAAGCTACTTAAAATGCATCCTTTGAAAGGAAACTACTCTGTAGAGACCAATCATCAGCTTCACTGCTGTTAGGATTCATCCCTTTAAGTTCTTGTGTAAACGTATCCTTAGAATGTATCCAACAAGGACCTGTCTTAAAATATTCTTAGGATTATGGAAAGGTTGATTTTGTCAGGTACTAATTAGGTGAATTGGGCTTCGGGGATTTGAGTATTTCTGTATTTATTCCTATTTTTAGTGTTTGTTTTGAATGATACCATAATGTTATATAGACCTAAAACTGCTTTTGCTGTTTTGTGATATGAATTATGTTGTGAGGTAGATTATTTTCTATATTAGTGCAGAGATTTTTTTAAAGATAAAATCAGCCCCATTTTTTACTTATAAGAAATCTCCTGTCCGCTGGGACTGAGTCAGGCTGAAGCTAGGAGCTAGAAACTGCGCATCTCTCACATGGATGCCCTCAGCTTCTGCTTCCCTGTGTCTGTGTTAGCAGGCAGCTAGAACTGGGAGCAGAGTCCAAACTGGAACCCAGGTACTCACGGGAGCTATCTGTAGAAGCAGTGTCTTAACTGCTAGACCAAATGTCTGTCCACAGGGCGTGTTTATCTTTCTTTTTGTTTTCAGTTGATTGTGCCCCTAATATGATGTTTTTATCGTGTCTTACCAACTGCTCAATACAATAATTATGGTTATGTTAGATAGATAGCTGTTGGCAAATCATTAATCTTAATATTTGGTGATCCTATTTACTTAAAATGTATTAAAGGTTAAGTATTTACTTGGAAAATATCCCTTTATAATGTAAAGCAATTTGTATTTTGTATTCTAAATATGAAATAGATTTTGTGTATTGTGAATACATGTATATAGTATTTATAAACAATCATGTACATAATTCCTGCTACTTTTTGATGTATCAAAACCCAGTATCTTGAATTTTAAAAATGCTTAAAACATTTTCTTTTTTTGTTTTTAGAGGTTTATTTATTATTTTTTTTTACAAAGTCAGATATACAGAAAGGAGGAGAGACAGAGAGGAAGATCTTCCATCCGATGATTCACTCCCCAAGTGACTGCAGCGGCCGATGCTATGCCGATCCGAAGCTGGGAACCAGGAACCTCTTCCGGGTCTCCCACACGTGGGTGCAGGGTCCCAAAGCTTTGGGCCGTCCTTGACTGCTTTCCAGGCCATAAGCAGGGAGCTGGAAGGGAAGTGGAGCTGCAAGGATTAGAAGCAGTGCCCATATGGGATCCCGGGGCATGCAAGGCGAGGACTTTAGCCACTAGGATACTGCACTGGGCCCAGAAGTTTTAAAAATTGTTTTTCAAAATGACCGAGTGGGAAAAGAAAGGGAAAACACCTTCCAGGAGAGAGCAGAGGTGGGTTGCCTCTTGAAAGGAACAAGAGTCACCTGTACTTTTTTATTTAATATATGTATTTTCTCTGGATGCCTTAAATTTTTTTGTTACAGCTGATTTGAATCAGCTCACTGATTATGATGTATGTTCTATGATTCTTGTGCTAGGCAGAGTTAGAGAGAGAAAGAGACCTATCTGTTTGCTCCCCAGTGGCCATTATAGTTGGGGCCAGGGATAGTAGCATGTAGCAGGATCAGAAGTAGAGCAGTGGAACTCAAATTATGCTGACACTGCAAGCTGTGGCTTAGCATGCTATATCACAGTGGTGGCACCTAATATTTCCTAAAATGTATTTTGTTTCTGTCTTTGCTCTTCTATGTGACTCAGTTAGAACCACAGAGCAATGATTATTAAATGTGCAAAGCATGTACAGCTTTTGGTATGAAGAACTCTGTACCAGTGCTGTGGCATGGAAAGCTGCCACCTGTGACAACTGGCATCCAATATGTGTTTTGGTTCATGTCCCAGCTGTTTCAGTTCTAGTCCAGCTTCATGCAAATGTTGAGAAAGCAGCTGAATATTGCCTAACTCCTTGGACTGCATCCATGTTGGGAGATCTAGAAGGTCTTAGTTCCTGGTTTCAGTCTGACTCAGCCCTAGGTTTTTGGTCAGTTGGGGAGTGAATGAGCAGGTGGAAGGTCTCTCTCAGTCTCACTTTGTCTTTCGGTCACTGTGCCTTTCAAATAAATTAAAAAATAATATTTAAAAAAGTAAAAGTCTCTGGTTAGATCCATTGCATTGGTATAAGGTAAGCATGTTTTAACAGCTTGATTAGCATCTGTTAAGACTTTTTCTTAAGAAACCTGTGGGTTTTTAAAAAAGTTTGTGGAAAAATGGAATGAAAGGACCATTGTTGGGTGAAAATACACAACAAATCTTAAGTAATTGTATAGTTTTTTTCAGTACAGGCATTTTCCCCCCCTTTATGATTTATTTTATTTGAACGGCAGAGAAACAGAGAGGAAGAGAGAGATCTTCTACAGGTTCAACTTCACAAATGGCTGCAGCATCCAGGGATAGGCCCTGCCAAGGCCAGGAGCTAGAAGCTTCTTCTTGGTCTCTCACATGGGGACAAAAGCCTGACTGCTGAAGTCATCCTCCACTGCTCTTTCAGGCTCATTAGCAGAGAGCCATATCGGAAGTGGAGCAGCCAGATTTATAGTTGCACCAGCCAGGGATACTGGCATCACCGGCTACGACTACCAGACATGCCACAACCCTGTCTTGATATAAGCATTCTCAAGGAAATTTTTCTTCATCTGTCTTCTTGTTCAGTTAACAGCGCATACAAAGGAGAGATGCTTCTTAATTAAGGAATTATGGTGTATTTATGAAGGTGTCAATGGTATATGTAAAAGCGATACAAGTGAAACTGAAGCTTCAGTTTTACCGAAGAATGCTTTGTGGGGGATGGCTTACAGACAGCCTTATTTATCCACTTGTTAGTTTGATTTTAAGTTTCATGAAGGTAAACACAATGTCAGTTGACTCCTTAGTCTCATTCTAATTACTTAAAACAAATTTAAGAACAACTTTATCCTATGCTGTCTTCTGATATATTCTGATTTAGGCTTCACTTAAAGCATAATATGTGGTTTGATATTAAAGAAAGTTACATGTACAATCCCAAGTTCTTGTTGATTGAAGAATTGCTGTCATTTGAAATAGTTAGCATTTAAGAGCTATAAAACTAAAAACTTTCATGTTAGAAACACTGTCCCTGAAATGATGTTAATTAAATTACCCTTGGCTTTATTTTAATGAAGAGCATGGACCTGGAATTGATATATTTACGCCTGGTAAACCTGGAGAATATGACTTGGAAGGTGGCATATGGGAAGATGAAGATGCTCGGAATTTTTATGAGAACCTCATTGATTTGAAAGCTTTTGTTCCAGCCATCTTGTTTAAAGACAATGAAAAAAGTTGTCAGAATAAAGATTCTAATAAAGAGGATTCCAAAGGTAAGGTAATGATGTAAAAATATTTACATTAGCTGTTACAAACATGAACTTTAGCTTTTGTAAAAACAGTAATGTTATAGTTACTAGTTCATTGAACATTAAAGGGTAACAGTTAACATAATTGTATGTTACAGTTCTGACAGTGCTTGAGTTAACATGGAATTTTCTTGAAAGATTTATTTGTAAGACACAATGGCAAGAGGCAGCACTTGCACCAGCTGTTTCATTCCCTAGGTACTCACAGTAGCCAGGGCAAGGCCAGAGTTAAATAAGAAGCCCAGAATTCCCTCTGGATCTCCTATGTGGGTGGCAGGGACCCAAGTGCCTAGGCCCTAATCCATTGCCTTCCCAAGTGCGTTAGCAAGAAGATGAATCAGAAGCTTCAGCCAGAACTGAACCAACACAGTCATGCGAAGTGTGTGGGCAGCAGCAAATTAACTTCTTGTGCCACAATACATGCTCTATGTTAAAAGAAGTGTTTATTTATAACAAAAATTTATGTGAAGTCTTAGTAACAGGGAAAGCATTAACTATCATATTCCTTATCTGTATTGTACCTTCTAGGGTACATTTTAGCTAGTTTTCTTTGTAAGGAAACTGTTTTGTAGACATCAAAAACTTCAAGATCATAAATAAAAAAAAGAAAGGAAATAAAAAAACCCCTGAAGATCATTAATAAAGTGAAAGGTGCTGAAGGCTGCTTTGCCGTGCCTCTCAGATTGGTCTCACCTTTACTGCCACCACTGTAATCTGAGTTACCATCCTTTCCTAAGCGTTGATGCTGGAGCACCTCCTACCTATTTATCCTGTGTTCATTCTTACTCCCTTTTGTGTGATCTTAAACATTAGTGTTACCCTCTTACATAAAAACCTTTGTGGCTTTACATTTGCTTTGATTTTAATTTTTTAATGATCTATTTTTATTATAAAGGTAGAGTTAGAGATCTAGAGAGACCCTCCATCCACTGGTTCACTCCCCAGATGGCTGCAGTGGATCAATCCTAATGGCTGACTGGTGCCCAGCCAGGAGCTTGCGGCTTCCTCCAGGTCTCCCACATATGCGTAGGGTTCCAAGGGCTTGGGACATCTTATGTTGCTTTCCTAGGCCATTAGATTGGAAATGGACTTGAACTGAGGTCCATGTGAGATATTGGTACAGTAGGTGGAGGACTGACTCTGCCTTTGTGCTAGTCCAGGAATTTAATTTAAAATGATTAACATTGTTTCCAAGACTCTGCATAGCTTCTCTTATGTCTCTCTCTCTCTTTCTCTCACTGAAGCTGTATTTATTACACCCATGCTCGTTTTCCTTTTCCTGGATTAGGCCAGTCTCTCAATTTATACAAGGCCTTCACACATGATCTCTTATGCTTGAAGCCATTCTCCCATCATAATCCCATTGATTCCATCATATATGTAAATTTAACTTCTTCAGAAAAATTATTAATTTTTTGAAAGCACGGGTTTCAAAAAAGGTTTAGACTTTTGTGGATATTCAATAGTTCAGCATAGTTTTAAGTTACCAAGTTAATTAGCATTTTTAATTATTTATTTTAAGTATTTATTTTGTTGTTTACTTATAGGCAAATTGACAGAGACAGATATTTTTTATCCATTGATTTACTCTTTAAATGACCACAATGACTGGGGCTGTGCCAGGCCAAAACTAGGAGCCTGGAACTCCATTTGGATCTCCCGTGTTGGTGACAGGAAGCCAAGTACTTGAGCCATTCTCCAAAGTGGCCAGGAATTGAACTGGCATTACGGGTGATAGCCTAACCTGTTAAATCACAAATCAGCCCAGCAGATTTTTTTTAATTAGACATTAGGAAACTATAAGGAGTAAATAAAAGGCATGCTTTGTTTTAGGCAAGTTTTTTCCAGTCTCCTTTGTACCCTTGGTGCTTACAGAGGGATCAAACATTGTGACAATTAAATACATGTTAATTAAATGAAAAGAGCAGGCTATCTTACCATAAGAGACAGCATCATCAATCTATACTAATTGGACCTTCCATTTTCCCAAATTTGGTGTAGCGCCGAGTATAAGTAGACATTTTTGCTTTGTTGAAAGCAGTAATTCAAAAGTTAGGAAATTAGAGAATGTCAGATAAAGCTGAGAAATTCTTCAACACACCTTTAAATTTTTTTTTCTGTATCTTATCTAGGAATAATTTTAAATACAAAGTAAGGCTAGAATAGTGAATGAGCATTTATGTGTTACCTAGCCTCAACAGTCAACATTTACCAGTGTTGAATCATGATTTAATTCTTCTTTTGTTTTTAACTGTCCAAGTTAGCCTTTTACCGATTCTTTGTCATTTTCCTTTGTGAGGTAGCTTTTCATGGTTTTCTTTAACCTCTTATTTCTGAATTGTAAAAATATTTTCATGACTGATCTATCTTTATGTATTTTTTTTTTTTTTTTTGCTTATTTATTGCATATGTTACTGCTATGTTACTTTTCCCATTAGTTAATTTAAATATTACCACCTGCTCATGGTTCAGCAAAAGTTGCATAAAGAAGAAGTCTGGACTGAAGTTGAAGCACTTCTTTTTGTGTGTTCACTTTTTTTTTTGAAATATTTATTTTTATTGGAAAGTTAGATATACAGAGAGAAGCAGATACAGACAGGAAGATCTTAAATCCACTGGCTTATTTCCCAAGTGACTGCAACAGCTTGAGCTGAGCTGATCCAAACCCAGGAGCCAGGAACTTCCTCTGGGTCTCCCACGTGCGTTCAGGATTCCAAGCCTTGTGGCCACCCTCTACTGCTTACTTAGGCCACAGCATGAAGCTAGATGGGAAGTGGGGCAACTGGGATATGAACCAGTGCCCATGTGGGATCCTGTTAGCCACTAGGCTATCACATCAGGCCCCTGTGTCTACTTTTTGTATTCAGATTTTCACCTTTGTCTTTGGAAGTTTCCCATGCCATTTACTTCTCTGTATGTCCATCATTCACCCATCCATGTCTTTGGTGAACCATGTGTCATATAGGTTAGAGTTAGAGGTTTTATATGCTCTTTATTGTCAGTGAGCATAATGAAGACTGTAAAATCTAAATATCCTAAATCTTTGTTCAGATTTGTTGCCTAGTGTATGTGTAGGTTCTAAGAAGTATTGTCGATTGCAACAAGGTTTCACTGACTGTTAACTCAGATATACTCATTCTTTGTTTTGAAAACAGAGGCAAAAGAATCTAAGGATAATAAGGAGGTGTCAACTCCTGATGATCTGGAACTTGAGCTGGAGAATCTGGAAATTAATGATGACAACTTGGAGTTAGAGGGTGGAGATGAAGCTGAGGATCTTACAAAGAAACTCCTTGATGAACAAGGTAAAGGATTATTTCACTAATTTCCATTTTTGAGTAGTTTTCACATATAAAGCTATCGCCTAAAATATAGAGCTTTTCAGTTCTCTGTTACTTAGCTGAAAATTATTTTGAACTGGTTGAGGCATAGAAATAACATTGATTTATATTAATGTCTATTTGAATTATGTATAAAGCAATAGAAATTATATTCATTATTTCTTACTTACTGTTAGAATTCTTTATTAGTGAGACATCTCCGGTCAATACTACTTTTTTGTATGATTGCTTAGTTGTTTCTTAATGTTATAAAGCAGGGAGTATGCATATGGCTAGGGGGCAGACCCAGGCTTAATTCATACCACTGGTGACATCAGAGAGAAAGAGTTTCTCTTCTGCTGTTTTTTTTTTTTTTTTTAAGATTTATTTATTTTTATTACAAAGTCAGATATACAGAGAGGACGAGAAACAGAGAGAGGATGATCTTCGTCTGATGATTCACTCCACAAGTAACCACAACGGCTGATGCTTTGCTGATCTGGAGCCAGGAGCCAGGAACTTTCTCCAGGTCTCCCACGCAGGTGCAGGGTCCCAAAGCTTTGGGCTGTCCTCGACTGCTTTCCCAGGTCACAGCAGGAAGCTGGATGGGAAGTGGAGCTGCCAGGATTGGAACCGGCACCCATATGGGATCCCGGGGCATGTTCAAGGCGAGGACTTTAGCCTTTAGGGCACGCCGCCGGGCCCAATGGAAAGTTTTTTGATAGTTGGTGTCTGAAGTGACTTGATTCTTATCAATGCCCCAGTTTTTCCAGCATAGTGTCCTAGAAGATGCACAGTGTTTTCCTGATTCTGAACATAGCTGTAGTTGATATACTTAATAACAAACTTAGACAAGTAATTGGGTGTTTTTATTCTTAGATTTTTTTTTTTTGGTATATGTATATATGTTTATTTTTTAAACATATTTAAAAACTAATTTTGTTTTAGAACAAGAGGATGAAGAAGCCAGCACTGGGTCTCACCTCAAGCTCATAGTGGATGCTTTCCTACAGCAGTTGCCCAATTGTGTCAACCGGGATCTGATAGACAAGGTATTGTCGTTTTCTGACATTTTACTCGAATGTGTAGACCTTATGCAGGGCCTGTAATTAAGAATGTCAGTGGTTTTTAAACTCTTTAAGACATTTCATTAACAAGTGTCTTCTAATGGAGTTTTATATGAGAAGCGAATATAAACAAAGTTGGAACCAAAGCTTGGGAGGTGTCTTTGAGCGTTTGAGCGTGGAGCTGGCTCAGAATACAGTTGGCTCACAGCTCAGATCAGAGATCTTAAAATGTTGTCTGTGGAGTCCTGGTTGCTTCCAAGGCACTTTCAGATCTGTTAGGTTAAAGGTCTTCATAATAATACTAAGTTGTTTGTTTTCACTGTTGCGAAAGCGATGGTGGATACTGCTGCTGACATTTAGCATGATGAAGAAAGTGGGCCACTCCATAGTATTACCACTGCAGTGTGTTTGCAGTGAGAACATGCCATTTCCACTTGTGTATTTTGGTGAATACATAAAAATGACTGGTTATTTTGCATATTGACTTTTGTGTACATATCCTTTTAATTTTGTAAAATGGGAAGGACATGTAAAACACCATACTTCTCAAGTTTGTTTTGCGTGAATGACTTGTAAGCTAAACTAGTTGCTTTTCTTATATAATACTATGTTTGTTCGGTTGAATTAATGGAAAAACTATGGATATTCAAACTTGAATATTTAGCAGACTGTGTTTTGTTAAGATGTATTTGTTTTATTTGTAAGAGTAATGTGAGACAGAGGAGTGCGGGGAGAGACAGATCTTCTGTCTGATGGACCACTCTAGATGTTTGCAGTGGCCAGAACTGGATTGTTCTGAAGCTAGGAGCCTGAAGCTTCTGGGTCTCCCACATTCTTCCAGAGGCCTGAGACCTTGGGCTGTCCTCTGCTGTTTTTTCAGGACGTTGGTAGGGAGCTGGATTGGAAATGGAGTGGCTTTGTGCACATATAGGCTGCTGACACTGTGGGTGGAGAATTAGCTTGCTAAACCACTGCACCAGCCCCTATGTAGCAGACATTTCTTCAATGACAGAAGGGATCCTTTCACTTCAAGGAAATCAACTGAAAGTATTTCTTGCTGAAGATCAAACTTGAGTTGTCAACAAAAACTAGAACCCTGAAAAATATGTTCAAATACTCTTAAGTTTGACAACTTCTCAGTTGCTACCTGAGGAGACTGTTGATAGATTGATATTAATGTAACTTTAAAATAATTTGTGCATTTGGCAGAGCTACATATCTCAGTGAGTTTTTCTAGGTAACCCAGTATACAGGATTAAAAATCATGCATGACTATTGAGTACCTTGTCCAATATAAGGTGTATGAAAGAGTTTTAACTTATCACAGAGCATGGAACATCTATTTAAGATTTATTTATTTGAAAGGCAACGTTACATAAAAAGAGAATGAAAGACAGAGAGTGAGAGAGTGAGAGAATCCTCCATTCTCTGGTTTGCTCCTAAAATGGTCACAGCAGCCAGTGATGGGCTGGTTGAAAGCCAGGAGCCAGAAGCTTCTTTTGTGTTTCTCACTTGAAGGAACATAAGCAGTAGGTGCATGCTGTTCTTATTTACAGATTTCATTAGCAAGGAGATGATTGGAAGTGGAACAGCCAGAACTGGAACCACAGCCCCAATGGGATGCTGGCCTTGGAGGCAGTGGCCTTACTCTTGTTGTGCCACAGTGCCAGTCTCTGATAATTTTATTTGTCAACAGTAATATCAGATTCCATATTTAAAAAGTTGAAGAAATCACCCTTGTCATTATCATAGCAAAGAGTTAAAGAGAAATATTTATGGATACTTAAAAGGATTTTAAAAAGACATCTTTGTTTTCCAACTACATGTATCTATGAAGCCTGATTCTCTTCTCATATAATCATTTGTTACATAATGATGTCTTGGTTAAAGAGCAACTGCATGTACACCAATCATCAATATGACACTGTAACCTGATGGTGATGTCGCTGTCCTATTTTGTTGAAGTACATTCTGAGGTGTGTGCACTTGGACGGAACAGCTCAATAGTGCATTCCTCAGCCTCCTTCTCTGCTCTAAATGCCTGCTTGGGCTGGTCCAAAGTGAAGTGGGAATCTAGCTTAGTCTCCTCAGTGGATGACAGGAGCCCAATTAATTGAGCTTTCCCAGTTCCCTCTCAGAAACTATGCTGTCAGGAAGCAGATGGAAGATCTCTCCAGCCCTGCCTCTTAAACAGACAGGTTGCTGGAAGAAGCAGGCACTCAGCCTTGTGGTTAAGATACCCAAGTCCGCATGCTGAACCTAGGGACTCATCATAGGGTATGTATATCTTGGCCATGGGTTGGCCTGGCCAAAGCCAGAGTGAAGAGCTTCTTCCAGGTTCTCCCACATGGATGCACCTGGACCATCTTTCACTGCATTCCCAGGCATGTAAGCAAGGAGCTGCATCAGATGTGGAACAGCCAGGACTTGAACTGGCACTGCAGGTGGAGGCTTAACCTATATGGCAGTAGTCCCCGTTGTTTATTATTATTATTACTATTATTTTTTTAAACTTTATTTGAAAGATTGACCAGGGCCCAGAGGGATATTTTTCTGCTGTTTCACTCAAAAAGCCTGTGGCTGCACCAGGTAGAAGCTAGGAATCCAGGATACACCCTGGTCTCCTTACAGGGGTGACAGCGACCCAGGTACTTATCATCTGCTGCGTTAAGAATGGGGGTCGCAGGCCTGGCGCGGTGGCGCAGTGGTTAAGGTCCTCGCCTTACACGCCCAGGATCCCATATGGGCGCCGGTTCTATCCCGGCAGCCCCACTTCCCTTCCAGCTCCCTGCCTGTGGCCTGGGAAAGCAGTCGAGGACGGCCCAAGGCTTTGAGACCCTGCACACGTGTGGGAGACCTGGAAGAGTCTCCTGGCTTCAGATCGGCATAGCATCGGCCGTTGCGCTCACTTGGGGAGTGAATCATTGGACGGAAGATCTTCCTCTCAGTCTCTCCTCTCTGTATATCTGCCTTTCCAATAAAAATAATAATAAAAATAAATCTTTAAAAAAAAAGAATAGGGGTTGCAAATGAGAAATTTTTCCAGTAATTTTTTTGTCAGTTTGAAAATAGTTGAAATTTTCTCTCGCTGCTTAGAGTCACTGGATATGACGTCTCTTTATTGATGTAAGGGAGGATATTTTGGAATAGGTTGTATATGAATATTTTATTAGATTTAAGTTCCTTAAGCTGTAGTTCTAAGGGAATGAATCCATTTTTTTTTCTCAATAAAAGATGATTTTATCTTTTGTAATTTTTTAAAGAGGAGAAAAATCCCAAATTAATGTTGTGATACATTCTTTTTAAATTTTTTAAAATTTTATTTTGAATATTAGTTACATTGTTTAAATACTTGTTTGCCAATGTTGTCTCCAGTTGGGGTCCAGAGGGTTTGCCATATGGAGGAAGGTGGATGGAACAAGCAATCCAGTTCTGTTTGTTTTATTCTCCTGTTCTGTTGTGGAGGAAGGAAAGGGGACCACTTCTTGGTGTCAAGCATAAACGTGGGATGGGGATGGGCCTTTGATGACACCTTAGGGACCCCATTGTGGGGAAGAGTGTTCTGAGGGTATTGAATTACTTTAATAATTGTGAGACACCAGGGTTTAATAATTGTGCACCAGGATTGAGAAAAGCTTTCCAAGGTCCGTTGGCTGACCAAGTCCACCTCAGTTTGCATCCATAGACCAGACATTTGTTACAGTGCTTGGCTCTGAGAGTTGTCCAACCTGTTCTGCTTTCCGTATTTTGACAAGGACTAGCTGTTTTCTGCTGGCCTAGATGAGCTGGCTGTCATATCGCTCATGTGCATCTGGGTGTGCTGTCCACTGCACATGCATCAGCAATTGTAAAGGCCTCTGCTGGCCCAGGCCTGACATGTGCACTCCAAGGTCAGAACACACATCATGTGATTTTTTTTTTTCCCCCCTGGCACATGTTTGTTCCTTTTTTTTCCCATTCCTTTTTATTGTGACCCCATTTCTTGGCTCATATGTTGTCCGTAGAGCTCTCCAGGCAGTTTTTTGTGGATCTGTACTCTTGTACTGTACTTTTGGACTTTTGAATGTCTCTGGTTGTAGATTTGAATTCCAGAGTGAAGAATTCTTTTAGATAACTTTTATAGGTAATGTCATGATAATGGTTATTTCTGTCTGCATTTGGTAATTAGCAGAATATGTTTGAACTTGATAGAATAAAAAGTGATTTCACTCTTTTGATTTACCTTAAATTTTTTGAAACAAGTTTTTTAAAAAAATATTTGCTAAATTGTCAAGCAGTAGGGGTAACCCACACAAATTTTGGATGGTAAAGCCTTTGATTCTCTGCTTACCCATATGGCAGGACCTACTGAAGTATAAGAATTTATGTATGTGTGAAACTTTTTACTTTTTCCTAATTTTGTCAAATTTACTAATTACAGCAGTTTTGCTGCTTAAATAGCCTTCTATTTATTTGTTATACACATTGATTGAACCCCTTACTCTGGAGCAGGAGTTGAGATACTTGGCTACTAATACCTACTTTTTGCAAACTTTTAAATATTTCCTTGTGTGTATGTAACTAATCTGCCATTATTTGGTAAGAGAAACATTTTATTGCCTTTTTTCATAAAATTCATTTATAAATATTCAGGGTAATATATTTCAAAAGGTAATGCTCAAAAACGTTTTTCAGGAATGTCTTATTTTTAGTGTGTTCTCAATTTATGTTGACATACAGGACATTATTAGTCACTTAAATATTTTCTTAATATTGCCTTTCTCTAAATTGGTGATTTTGAAGGTTTTAGGGATCTGAATTTGTTAACTGTTTCTGTTTTCTGAGCATACAACTTTTGGTAATTTTATTCATTTTTACAAGCAAAGAAGATACTTAATCTTTGCCTTAGGAGTTAGACATTCTCAGGGAGAATTGCTTATAGGTTCTTAGGAAATTTTCAGCTTTTCTCTTTGTTATTCTGATTGGCTATAATGAACTAAATGCTATAAAATGGAAATTTTTAATATAACTTGTTATATTTATAAAGTATTTTTAATTGTGCTCTTTTTGCTAATGCTGACATGCAGTGATGATCTTATTGAATAATCTTCCCGTGAGTCCATTTCCTGTGTTTGAATGTACTTATTCCATCAGAAGTTTTTGTCAGACGGGAAATATTTTTTTTGCTTTGCCAGTGGAGAAATTGTTTTTTTTTTTTTTAATTTGTAATTTTTTAAGAATAGTTACAGAGAAATCTTCATCTGCTGAGTCATTGTTCATTTGGTTTCCATCGAGGCCACACTGAAGCCAGGAGCTTCTTTGAAGTTTCCCACATAGGTAGCAGGGACCCAGATACTTGAACTGTTGTCTGCTGCTTTCCCAGGGCATTAGCAGGGAGCTGGATTGAAAGTGGCGCAGCTGGACGTAAGTTGGCACCTGCAGGGAAACTGACATTTGCAGGTGACAACTTTATCTGATTAACCACAATGGTAACTCCAAGGACAGAAATTCTTTACAATTCAGAAAGATCTGAGGAGCTTTCATTTGTGTCTGATCCTCAGATTTATCTAATAGTTTTAATTAATGATAATAAACCTAAGAAAGAAAACACTAGACATGCTCAAAAAGATATATGAAAATGGTTTGTTCTATTTTTAAGTTATGTTTTTTTGGGGCCCGGCACGGTGGCGCAGTGGTTAAGGTCCTCGCCTTGCACGCCCTGAGATCCCATATGGGTGCCAGTTCTAATCCCGGCAGCCCCACTTCCCTTCCAGCTCCCTGCCTGAGCCCTGGGAAAGCAGTCGAGGACGGCCCAAAGCTTTGGGACCCTGCACCCGCATGGGAGACCCGGAAGAGGCTCCTGGCTTCGGATCGGCATAGTATCGGCCGTTGCGCTCACTTGGGGAGTGAATCATTGGACGGAAGATCTTCCTCTCTGCCTCTCCTCTCTGTATATCTGCCTTTCCAATAAAAATAAAAAATAAATCTTTAAAAAAAAAAAGTTATGTTTTTACTTCTATTTGGAACGTAGAGAGACTCAAGAGACACAGATTTTTCATCTGGTGGTTCACTCCTTAATTGTTTACCATAGCCAGAATGTGGCCCCTGCTGAATCTGGGAGCCAGGAACTCACTCCAGGCCTCCCTCAAGGGTGATGGGGGCCAAGTATTTAAGCCATTTTATGCTGCCTCCCAGGGTGCACATTAGCTGCAAGGTGGATTGGAAATAGGGAGTATCCAGTCCTGGAACCACACCCTCCTGTATGGGATGTGGAGTCCGTGTGTTCTCCTAGCCACTATAAGGAATGCCCACGTTTTTGGTACATACACTTGTATTTTGAAATACTGGTTACTTGTGTTTTTATTTTCTGAAGACTTGCAGAGCCTAGGTCTTTCCTAGCTTTTCTTTCATGCTTGCATCAGATGTTACACATTGATAGATACTGGAATACTGGAAACAGTTTTGTCCTGATTATACAGTGGTGGATATCACTATACTAAATACTGTTTGGGAATATTCATTAAAGTCCTAGGATATAATTTCTTTGTTTTTGCAACGCTGCGACATTGTTTCTTTGGTTTGGATACCAAATGTGATTGTCAGCATGCATTCCTATGTATTACTTTTTGTTCTTTTTTTTTTAATTGAAAAATTTTTTAGTTTATTTTATACTTTTTTTTAATGGGAAAGCCAGATTTATAGAGAGGCGAGACAGGGAGAAAGATCTTACATCTGAAGGTGGTTCACTCCTCAAGTGGCTGCAATGGCTAAAGCTGAGCTATTCCGAAACCAGAAGCCAGCCAGGAGCTTCTTCTATGTCTCCTACATGCTACATGGGGGAGCCCAAGGCTTTGGGCTGTCCTCTTCTGCCTTCCCAGGGCATAAGCAGAGAGCTAAATGGGAAATGGAGCAGCCAGGACATGAACCAGTGTCCATGTAGGATCCTGGCACTTGGAAGGGGTGGATTTAGCCACTGTTACCTTCACGGGCCCAGCACTTCTTATTCTTACACTTCTGTATGAATAGTCTATGCCTCTCTTTCTTGGTTCATTTTGTTGTTTTTTTGGTTATCCTTGTTAGCATTTGTTTCTTAGCTCTTGATAACTATACTTGCTACTTTCGAAGTCTTTCAAAATATTTTCTGGTATCTAGTGATTGACCTTTAATGAGAGTAGAGACATTGATTGAACTTTTCATATAATTATTTGCTCAACATCTCCTGGTAGGTATTTAGGCTACTCAGCAGAACAACTGTTCTCAATAATTCTAGATTTCATGTGAAGGTTTTGACATACATATTTTTAGTGTTACATAAGTAGAGAGGTTTTTGGACTTAATCCTTTTTGGTGGGATAATACTATCATTTTGAAATGTTGACAGGTCAGTAGATAGAATGAGGTTTTTTAAGAAAACAGTTTGATTTTTTTTCTTTTAGGCAGCAATGGATTTTTGCATGAACATGAACACAAAAGCAAACAGAAAGAAGTTGGTACGGGCACTCTTCATAGTTCCTAGACAAAGGTAGGTATTTTTAAAAAGTCAATTTGTTAGTGTATTTACTATGCCTTGCTGAAAAGTTCTTATTTTTCTTTAAAATTATCTCCTGTTTTGGGCCCGGCAGTGTGGCCTAGCAGCTAAATTTATCTCCTGTTTTATCTTTCAGTAGACATTATTAGTATATCTTCTAGACGTTTCTCATTGATTTTTGATCTTTGTTAGCACTAACAGAATTTTTTCCATTATATTTGCATTATTTTAAGAGAAAATGTATAAAAATAAGTGTAATTTAAAAATAATAATAATTACGTTAAACAGTTGGTTTACCATTTTGCCTCTGAGCAAACTTCCTGGAAGTTTTTTATACAGTTTTTCTTATGTGTACAGATGAAAATTCAGTGTAGCTAATTCTTGGAGATGTGTTTAATTGAGAATTTTCAATTTATTTGCATAATTATGATAGATCAGATTTGAGGTATTTGCCTGAAGATTTGTGAGATAAAACTGGAAGTTAATGTTATGTTGCAAGTACTTTCAAGATACATTCAGTTGCAAAATACTTGCAGATAATTGTAGTATTCTGTTTCTCACTAGCATAGTATCTTGCTTTATCTGGATATTTCATGTCACTTGTAGACTGTTTACTGTAGAAACCTGGAGATCAGTTACTGTTGCTTTGAGTAACTGAAGAATTATGTTATGTGTTATGTACAGTAAAGCTAAGATAGATAATCCCCCAACAGATAAGGATTCTGAAGGAGTTCTTCAACAGAATCTTGAGTCCATGCGTTCGTTCTTTGATGGAAGTTCATGATCTCTTAATAATGTTATTTTTCAGTGAAGGCAAATTATGACGTGTTTTCTTTCACAGTATCTTATTTGTCTACTGTTAGCAACATTAATAACATGGCTTTTTATTTTATGGGACAGAGGAGACAGAATTTGTTACTATATTGTAGATATTTAAGAATTATTGATTTTATAATTTGTGGATTTTTATAATAAAAATTGTGTATCTCATTCCATGAATTTAGAGGTATTATCAATTATGAGGCCCAACATTAATTTATGTAAAACCGAGGGGAAAATTTTTCAATTTTAAAACTTTATTAGATGTTTCAGTTTCATATTTGCACTTTGAATTGATGAAAATTTAAATTGTTGTTCCATTAGTATCTTTATTTAATGGCTGTTCACATAATGGAATATTTGGTTTTGCATTTCTGTTTAACTTTTCATCTAAGAATGATATAGTACAAGTTTATCTTGCTTTATTTTTTTACTGCAACATGTACAATATAAAATATATCAAAAGTAGTAAAAATAAAAAACTTAAGGAAAGATAACCTGTAATGATGCTTAAGTAGTTTTCTATGAACTACAATCCTTTTGCTGTATATCTGTTCATCCCTTTTATGTCTCCAATTTCTCAAATATTATATACTGTTATTCATTTTTTGTACCAGTCATATCCATTATAATTGGATTTATCTTCATTGCCTGAGAGTAAAAACTTGCGATTATTGGTAGTTAGAATCTGCTGGAAACAGAGTTGAAAGTAGGAAGTGATAATCTATAGTTTGAGAGAAAAAAAGAATACAAAATGCACAAGTACTTCGAATGTGTGGCAGTGTAGAGCCATATAAATAGAATAATTTAGGTTTGTTGCAATTAACCTGATACTCACCAAAGATTAAATGCTTTTTTCAAGTTATTTCTTACTTAAACAATTCATTAAGGGTTTACTGTATGCTGTGTTCAGTGCTGGGGATGCTATCCATAATGTGTCAGGGTACTAGCCAAGATCAACTTGACTCTAGTATTAGCTTACAATTTGGAACGGAAGACAGGTGAATAATTCAAGGTGCCTCTGTGGAGGGTGTGCTACATTCTTTGAAGCATAGACTTGGTGGAGCTGATTGACTTAGACTGCGTGTTCAGAGAAAGGCTGACATGGGACGCTTGAACTGTAAAGGAGTTAGCTAGGAGTGGGTAAGGGACAGTAATGTAGAGAGCATTTCTTTTTCATTTTTATTTCCTTTTAGTAAGTACTGTCAACTGTGTTCATGCACATGTGTTTTTTTTTTTTTATTTTTGAAAGGCAAAGAAGCCAAGAAAAAATCAAGCTCCCATCTACTGATTCATTCTCCAAATGTATACAAAACTCTTGATTAAAACCAGGAGCCTGAAACGCAATCCAGGTCTTCATTGTAGGTGATAGGGACCTGAATACTTGAGCCATCAGCTGTTGTCTTCCAGAATCCACGTTAGGAAACTGGAATGAGAAGCCAAATTAGGTCTTGAACCCAAGCACTGCAATAAGGATTCCAGGTGCTTAACCACTAGATCAAACCCCTGTCTTTCCATCCAGTGGTTAAGCTATCCTCATCTCATATTAGAGCATCTCTGATAAAGGATTCAGTGTGTACAGAGAAACAGACAGGAAAGGGCAGTTGGCTGTGAAAACCTCCTTCTAGAACTCCCCAACATCTGCTCCTATAAGCTGCAGGAAGGAGGTCATGTGTACTTGTTTGTCTTTAGCACTTAGCGCAATGCCTGTCTTGTAGTGGGTGATAAAATCATGTAATAGTCTTCCTCTTGCAGAATCCTGAACTGTGTAATGATTTCTTGAATGCCCACCTCCATATCATTGTCTCTGCTTTAAACTGTAAATGGAATGTGCTTCATTTTCCCACTAGTGATTTGACTTGCTGTCTTCTCTGTAACCCGCCATCTTTCTGTTACTCTGTAGCTCTTGCAACATGTCTTCATTGTAGGAATCTGGCATCTCACATCCCGATTGTTAGTTTGCTGCCTATGTCTCTACAAGACTGAAAGCTATCAACTTTTTAGGAGAGAGGAAGACTTTTTAATTTTGTATATCTCCAGCAGGAGGATACACTTCTAAGCACAAGACATGGTTTAAAATTCTTGGTGAATTGTGTAGGTCATATACAGTTTATAAAACATAAATAATACCGTTAATGGCTCAGCATTTAGAAGTGTAAAGAATTATTTGTAGAAAAAAAGTCTTTCCTTGTCCCATCATCGGTCCCATTACTGCTTCTCTCTGTAAGAAATCGGTGTCTTCATTTTACACATCCTTCCCAAGCTTCTTTTGCATATTCAAAAAAGTTCAATTGCACATTTCTTATTTCCTGTGTTTTTACACAAAGGGTAGCTTGTCATACATACATATCTTTATCTCACAACATTTAAATTTTCTTAGTACTTTTATGGCTTTTATGGATGTATTACATTTAATCATTTTTTACTTTCTGGCCTTCTGCCATAATAAGCAATAATGTATTGATACTGCTCCTTCCTTACCCCCCCCATTGATTATGCTAGTTAATTATTTATCTCTTTTAGTATTTTTGCCAAAAAAACTTAGCTTTTGAATTTATTATGTATTCTACTTGTTTATTTTCTTTGTTCTTAGTTTTAGCTTTTATCTTTATTAATTTCTTCATTTTCGTGACTTTCTATTTTGTTTTCTGTCATTTTTTTAAAGATTTATTTATTTTTATTGGAAAGGCAGATAATATAGATAGGAGAGACAGAGAGGAAAATCTTCCGTCCAGTGGTTCACTCCTCAAGGGGCCATGACAGCTAGAGCTGAGCCAATTTGAAGCCAGGAGCCTCTTCCAGGTCTCCCACGTGGGTGCCAGGGTCCCAAGGCTTTCCCAGGCCACAAGCAGGGAGCTGGATGGGAAGTGGAGCAGCCGGGATTAGAGCTGGTGCTCGTATGGGATCCTGGCACGTTCAAGGTGAGGGCTTAACCACTACACTATCATGCCTGCCCTTGTTTTGTGTCATTTTAAATGAGTTGTTCTTTGAGCTTATTTTTTTTTTTTCTTCTTAAGATTTATTTATTTTTACTGCAAAGCCAGATATACAGAGAGGAAGATCTTCCGTCCAATGATTCACTTGCCAAGCTGAGGCCAGGAGCCTCTTCTGGGTCTGCCACATGGGTGCAGGGTCCCAAGACTTTGGGTCGTTCTCCACTGTTTTCCCAGTCTTCAGGCAGGAAGCTGGATTGGATGTGGAGCATCTGGGAGACAAATTAGTGTCTATATGGGATCCCTGCACAAGCAAGATGAGGATTTAGCCAGAAGGCCTCTGCACCAGGCCATTGTTAGCTTCTTCTTTTTTATTATTATAATTGTAGGAACTGGCATTGTTTGTAATGGGGTGATTCACTCTCCTACAATGCTGCCGTCTCGTATGTGGACCATTTCTAGTCCTGGCTGTTCCACTTCTGATCTAGCTCGCTGTTAATGAGCCTGTAAAAGCTAGTGAAAAATGACTCAAGTGCTTTGGTCCTACTGCCACATGGGAGACCTGGTGAAACTCAAGGCTTCCATCACTGGCCATCACTGCTGTTTGGGGAGTGAACCAGCTGATGAAAAAGAGAATGATATTATTCTCATCTTTTCCCGCTTTGCTCTGCTTGTTTTCCTTCCCACCCTGTAGTTCTGCCTTTCAAATAAATAAAAATGGATTAAGGCTTTAATTAAGGCTTTATGATGTTAATTAATACACTATACAGTTCACCCTTTTAAAATATGTACCTCAGTGCTGGCATCTCAAGTATGTGTAAGCGTTCTTCACCCATGTCAAGGTGGAGAACCTTCCTAGATCCTGAGTAATTACTTCATCTAAGCCAGGCTTTGAGTTTAAAATTGGTCAGAATCAGGGAAAGTACCCGAAGAATCTTTTCTTTCTTTATTTGACATACAAATATGTCTGATATTGTTATTAGTGACCAGAGGCAAATGGATTTAACTGTGTGTTGGCAGGAGAATATCCAGACTCTCCCTAGGTTAAGGTAAACAGTGCCCTTCCCGGATGATGCTTGTGCTTCATTTTCTTTTTTTTTTTTTAAAGATTTATTTTTATTATTTTTTTATTGGAAAGGTGGATATACAGAGAGGAGAGACAGAGAGGAAGATCTTCCATCCAATGATTCACTCCCCAGGCGGCCGCAACGGCTGGCGCTGAGCCAATCTAAAGCCAGGAGC